GGAGGCTTCCCAAATTCTGAAAATTCTCAGGATCTTGAATTTCCCCATCCAGAAATTCCCAGGATTTGGAATTTTCTCACCCAGCAATTCCCAGGATTTGTTTTCCCATCCGGAAATTCCTGGGATTTGGAGTTTCCCACCAGGAAATTCCCAGGATTTTGAAATTTCTTGTCCAGAAATTCCCGGGATTTTGAGTTTCCCCTCTGGAAATTCCCAGGATTCGAAATTTTCCCAAAATCCGGAAATTCCCGGGATTTGGAGTTTTCCCACATGCCGGAAATTCTCAGGATTTGGAGTTTTCCCCTCCAGAAATTCCCAGGATTTTGAAACTTCCTGTCCAGAAATTCCCGGGATTTGGAGTTTTCCAACCCAGAAATTCCTGGGATTTGACGCTTTCCTGTCTGGAATTTCCCAGGATTCGGAGTTTTCCCACCAGGAAATTCCCGGGATTCGGAGTTTTCCCAAATTCCAGACATTTCCAGGATCCGGAGTTTTCCCAAATTCCGGAAATTCCCAGGATTTGAAGCTTTCCCAGCCGGAAATTCCCAGGATTTGTTTTCCTGTCTGGAATTTCCCAGGATTTGGAGTTTTCCCCTCCAGAAATTCCCAGGATTTGGAGTTTTCCCAAATTCCGGATCCCATCCCGTTTTCCACGGATCCATCGAGGCCGGGGGTGGGGGGAGGGGAGCGACATTCCCGCTTTTCCCCCCCTCGGGAAAAATTCCAGGATCAAACCGACCCCACCCTTTGGAATTCCCAGAATCCCAAACCAAATCCCAAATTTCCCTCCTGGGAGAAGGGAAAAAATTCCCGAATTCCCAGGAATTCCCATTCCCGCTCCCGAGGCCTCGCGGAGCCTCCGGATCCTTCGGGGAATTTCCGGATTCGTTTCTTTTAATTAAAGATTTTTTTAATTAAGGCCCCGATTTTCCCGCCGGGAGCCTCCGGAACCTTCCCAAATTCCCGGCCTGGAGAGGGGGGAAAAAAAATCGGGAATGGGGCGGGAATTCATGGAATTTTGGAGCCAAATCCCGGTCCCCAGGGTGGCCTCCGGGGAATTCTGGGAATTCTGGGAATTCTGGGAATGCCGGGTTCCTCATTCCAAGGATTTGGAAGGGAAAAACCGGGAATGAAAAGGAGGATCCGGAGGGGGGGGGGGTTCTCGCTCCGGAATTCCCGGGATTTCAATCCCTGTGGATTTGGGGGGAGCCGGATCCCGGCTGGGATTTATGGGAATGTTGGGAATGTTGGGATCCCAGGGCTTTTCCAGCCGGGAAATCCATCCCGGGATTTGGGAGGATTCTGGAGTGCCGGAGGTGCCTGCCTCAGTTTCCCTTTGGAATTCCGGTGGCTCCTTCCCGCTTCCCAGGGGCTCATTCCCGGTTCCCAGTTCCCATTCCCGATCATCCCAACCCCATTCCCGATTATCCCAACCCCATTCCCGATCATCCCGACCCCATTCCCAGCCCCATTCCCGGTTCCCTTGAGCTCATTCCCAGTCCCAGGGCCCATTCCCAGTCTCATTCCTGATTATCCCAACCCCATTCCCGATTATCCCAACCCCATTCCCGATTATCCAGATCCCATTCCCAATTATCCAGATCCCATTCCCATTCCTGGCCCCATTCCCGATTATCCCAATCCCATTCCCTGTTTCCCTTATCCCATCCCAGATTATCCCATTCCCAGTTATCTTATTCCCAATTATCCCATTCCCGGTAATCCCATTCCCGGTAATCCCATTCCCGATTATCCCATTCCTGATTATCCCATTCCCGGTGATCCCATTCCCGGTGCTTATCCCAGTGATTCCCCCCTCATTCCCGCAGATTCCCATCCCAGTTTCATTCCCAGTTCCATTCCCAGTTTCATTCCCAGCTCCATTCCCAGCTCCATTCCCAGTTCCATTCCCAGCTCCATTCCCAGCTCCATTCCCAGCTCCATTCCCAGTTCCATTCCCAGTTCCATTCCCAGTTCCATTCAGATCGGAAGAG